TTGTAGTGTAGCAGGTTAAACCTCTGCCTGTGATGCTAGCATCCCATATGCACACAGGTTGGAGACTGAGCTGCTTCACTTCTGATCCAGCTCTCTGCTAATGTACCTGGAAAAGCAATAGAAGATCACCCAAGTCCTTGGTCCCCTGCACCCACGTGTGAGACCCAGAAGAATCTCTAAACTTCTTAGCTTGAGCTAGGAAGTTTATGAACAGCAAAGGAAACACTCGACAAAGAGAAAAGGAATCAGGCTGAATGGTAGAAAATATTTACAAACTATCCTCCTGATAACCAATTAAGACATAAAACATATAAGGATCTCAAGAAACTGAACCAGGCTGGTGCCCCAGCTCAATAGTCTAATCCTCCACCTAACAGCACCGGCCCACTGGGTTCTAGTCCTGGTTGGGGCACCGGATTCTTTCCCAGTTGCCCCTCTTCCAGGCCAGCTCTCTGCTGTGGTCGGGGAAGGCAGTGGAGGATGGCCCAAGTGCTTGGCCCCTGCACCCCATGGGAGACCAGGAGAAGCACCTGGCTCCTGCCTTCGGATTAGCATGGTGTGCCGGCCACGGCATGCCAGCCGTGCCGGCCATTGGAGGGTGAACCAATGGCAAAAGGAAGACCTTTCTCTCTGTCTCTCTCTCTCACTATCCAGTCTGCCTGTCAAAAAACAAAAAACAAAAAAAAAAAAAAGAAAAAAAAAAGAAACTGAACCACAACAAAACAAATAACCCAGTGAATAAATGGGCAAAGGAAATGAAAAGGCATTTTTCAAAGGATGAAATACAACAGACACATGGACAAATGCTCAGGGTCCCTGACCATCATGGAAATGCAAATAAAATTTCATGTGAGCTCATGGAAGCAAATATTGTGAAGCTGTCCTCAAATCAGGTTTAAAGGAGGCATCCCATGGAGCTGTACTCAATGAAACAAGCAATTTCTTATCACCTAAGTTAGAATGGCTATCAAACAAAACTTAAAAGGAAAAAGAAAAAGTGCTTGTGAATATGTGGGAGAAAACGTACCTAGTCCACTATTGGTGGGAATGTATACTAGTACAGCCATTATGGAAGACAGTATGGGGATTCTTCAAAAATATGAAAATAGATCTACCATTTGACCCAGTCATTGCACCCTTGGGAATTTATCCAAAGGAAATGAAATCAGCATATGAAAGGGTCATCTCTACCCCCCATTTTAATGTATATGAGTGAAACTGACAGCTTTATATTTGATAATTTTTTTTAATAATCCTTATCTACTTTTGCACAACAGTGGTCTTTGTATTTTTCTTGTTGAATTCTTAATTAGTGCAGAATTAAACTGATGAGCATGAAGTGAATTGAATGTATGGGGTTCAGTGTTGTGTGGCCACCAGCATCACACATGGGTTCTGGTTTATGTCCTGTGTGCAACAACTGCTAAAGGCCTGGGAAAACCAGCAGAGATTAGCTCAAGTGTTTGGACTGTGATATCTCATGTGCGGGACCTGGATGAAACTCCTGGCTCCTGCATTTGGCATGGCCCAGCCTGGCCATCGGTGGCCATCGGGGAAGTGACCCATTAGATGGCAGATCTCTCTTTCTCTCTCTCTTCCTAACTCTTGCTTTCAAAAAATAAATAATATTGAAAGGAAAAAGGCAGGAGGAGGGAGGGAGGGAAAGCAGGAGTCAGTGAAAGTGGGAAGAATCATTGTAGGTTTAAAATTGTATATATGAACTACATGAAATCTGTTCTCTTTGTGAAATAAATATGTTTAAAAAGAGGTTATTTTAATGCTAGTACCAGTACAATTTCTATGAAGGGGTGGGCCAGCTCTGGTTTAATAAACCCCTAAACATCAATTCATGTGTGTCCTTTCTCACTATGTACTCCACTTGTTTCTTTCCTCACACAATTGTGAAGAACAAGTATAGTTCAGGACGTACTTATATCAGGGAGGAATGCATTTGAAACATGCATTGTATGGAACAACTCTGATTCTATGCATTGAGTACAGCTCCACAGGATGCCTCCTTTAAACCTGATTTGAGGACAGCTTCCCAATATTTGCTTACATGAGCTCACATGAAATCTTTCGAAACATATTCTACACTCTACTGCACCCACTTACTTCTCTTTATTAATCTTCTACCCTGATATCTCACCCAACAGTCTTGTCTTTGGGGACTATAATGTAGCCTTCTGTGTGACATAAGCCTGGTGTCATGTTAGCCTCTATGTTGTAGAGTTGCCCACCTTGGATCCCACCACAGAATACCTTTCCCTCATACCACACAGGTGGGACCTGCTTTATTGCTGATACTCACATGCATCAATGATGGGCTATAAATGATTTGCAGAAGTTACCTTATCTTCAAGTTAGGTACCCATATCCCAAAACCCCTCTGCCTACTGTCAACATGAGTGCATATACATGCATGCACACATGCACGTGCACACACACACACATACCCAAACACACACAAATCTAGACTGTTTCCCTTCTGTCAAAACATTGATATCCATTTTATAATAATCTTATTATGCAACAATATAGAGAGTATGATCTTTTCCTATTCATATTCTCAGTAACTTGGAGTTTTTCACACCCATTCATCTACTCTGCATTACCCCCTGAAATCTTCAATTTCCTTTCTGTTTCTATGTAGTGGATCCCTCTTCATCTGTCATAAAATACCATTAATTAGTGGTATTTCAATGTCCCACACTCAAAAAATGTCATTGATATATTTCAATATTGATATATTTCATCTGTGCAAACATTCCAAATGATTTTTCCAATATGATTTTGGAACAATCCACATAGAATAGTCCTTTGGCTCTCTATCACTCAGTGTGATTTTCACAACCATTCAATATTCAATGACTCTATTTTCTTTTTTTGTGTTTCTGGGACATTCCATTTTTTTATATTTTGGTGACCTTAGTGGATCCACATACTGTATTTAAAACAGGGCATTTTAAAGAAACAGCACTAGGACTGCTAGGTAGCAAGGAACAAAACTAGCTTAAAAGCCCTCAAACACTGACCCTAAGCCTGTGCTTCTTCCTCATTATGTACTTGGTAATGCTTTTCCTCACTCGGTTGCAGTGGACATGTTTGATTCCATGTGCCTTTCCATTTGGGAGGAGCACTGTTGAACACATTATTTGTCTGGAACAACTATTTCAGAATTCCTTTCTTTGTGTCCAGCCCTGTGGTGTGACATTCTTTCTGCTTTTCTTCCCTATGCAATGTTTTTATGCTCATGTGGAGTTTTCAGAGGGCCAGCTTCACATCTGGCTTATCTTCTGCTGATGCAGACCCCTGAACCCTGTAACATACCTTGAATACTCACATGGAGTTCCAGGCTTCTGGCTTCAGCCTGGCTTGGTCCTAATTTTCATTTGGGGGAGAAAATTGGCATCTGGAACTCTCTCTCTGTCTCTTTCTCTACCTCACTGTCAGTTGGTGTTTCAAGGAAATGTAAACAAATAGGCGTTTAAAAAACCCACTCTGTCCTCTGTTGTCCCTAGTGGCATATATTTTGTGCACTGTTTTACTGAAAATACCTCCTGTCATGACCTTACTTTGTGACTGAGTGTCCCATTCCATCCCCTGTCCCATTCCAGCTCTGAACTTACCTGGCCCAGTGCTTCAGATTTGACTCTGCCATTGGGCCACTTCAGGATACCACCAGAACAGGGCTTGGCTTGGGGTTGTGTGGCAGAAGCAGGAAGCAGTCACCTGCAGACTGGGCCTCATGTAAGCCAGTCTGCTGAAAAAGATTTTGGAGGAAGTCAAACATCTCTCACTTTGAAACAGATGCCCAGAAGATAAACCCTCTGCTTATCTCACACACAAAATACATATAACTACATGTTATTTGTTTATATTCCTGCAGGGCTTGGCCATTGGTTGCTGTTCAGCTCTGTCATGTGGAGAATCATTTTATGAACAAGTGAATGGAGGTTATAAGGCTGCTGGGGCCCATTTGAGGACATGGAGAGCTATTGTGTGAACACCACTATTGCAACCCAGCAGACTACTAATTATTCAAAAATGATGATATCCCGAGAGAGATGCCAGATGGCCTTCCTTTCCTCAATACTGGATACAACATATTATATTGGTACAAGTTATTCCTGGGGAGACTCTTGCTATCAACCCTAAAGATGGGAACATTCAGAATATTCAACAGGCTGCCTATGTACCTCTGATGTCACCAAGTGGTACTCTGCCACCTATATACCTTCCTTCTGGTTATGTCTCAGGTGGTGAAAGACAATGGGATTCGTAAAATTCACATTGTGCCTCAGACAATGTCATGTGTCCATACCACTTTGATGCAAGTACCACGGTTCATACTATCATTCTCTCCTATATATCCACAGACCCTGACTGATGCCTCAAATCAAGGAGAATTTCCCCCACCTTATGTCTCATAGCCTACACCACAGCAGCTGAGGCCATCACCACCAGCAACATTTATGTACCAACAGAATAATGGTAGGATATGAAGTTCCTAAATAGCACATACTTTTAGTTTATTAAAATTAACATTTGGATAATTATTAAAATGTCAAAGCAGGAAAACAATAACATTTCAAGGAATTTGGGGATTTCATGCAGCCATGTCAGGACTGATGATAATCCTTGTGTCTAAGGTTTCTGTTTTGTGCAAAATACAAGTTTATATATATATATATATATATACACATATATATACACACACACACTATAGATCAAATAGCAAGAACGTAATGGCTACTAGAAAAAATTTTATAGAGAAAGGGAGTCGTGCTGATCCTATGGGATCGAATCCGCATTCATAAGGGCTTGATTTTTCTGAATAGATATTTAATTGAGGGAGTCAGAATGCAATTGTAACTAGGACTAAGGAAATGGTGGTGTTAATTAATAGTACTAGTATTAGGTTTATTACTCTTTTTTGGGTTGGAGCCAAAACTAACTGATTGGAAGTCAGCTGTACTAGTTGATACTAAAAGAGTATGACCCTCATCAATAGATTGATACATATAGGAATAGTCAGACTACATCTACAAAGTGTCAGTATCATGCGGCTGCTTCAAAACCAAAGTGGTGGTTCGATGTAAAGTGAAAGTTAAATTGTCGTAGAAGGCAGACCGTAAGAAAAGTGGACCCAATGATGACGTGAAGACCGTGAAATCCTGTGGCTATGAAGAATGTTGATCCGTAGACTCCATCTGAAATAGTAAAAGATGTTTCGTAATACTCCGATGCTTGAAGTAGGGTAAAATAGATACCTAGGAGAATGGTAATGGCTAGAGCTTGCTGTATGTTTTTGCGATTGCCTTCTATTAAACTGTGGTGGGCCCAGGTGATTGAGACTCCTGAAGCCAGGAGGACTGAAGTGTTTAGTAGCGGCACTTCAAGGGGATTAAGGGGGTTGATGCCTGTTGGAGGTCAGCATCCTCCTAGTTCTGGGGTAGGAGCTAGGCTTGAGTGGTAGAAGGCTCAGAAGAAGCCCGCGAAAAAGAATACTTCTGAGATGATAAAGAGAATTATGCCATATCGTAGGCCTTTTTGTACAATAGGAGTATGGTGGCCTTGGAATGTACCTTCTCGTACGATGTCTCGTCATCATTGGTATATGGTGAGAGTGTTGGTCACTAAGCCGATTAATAGAAGTGAGGGGGAGTTAAAATGAAATCATATGGCTAGGCCTGATGTCATAAGAAGGGCAGATAGGGCTCCGGTGAGTGGTCAGGGGCTTGGGTTGACTATATGGTAAGCGTGAGTTTGGTGTGTCATTAGGTATTGTCATGTAGGTATAGGCTTACAAGGAGAGTAAAGACGTAAGCTTGGATCAAGGCTACGGCGAATTCTAGAATTGTTAGTAGAATAAGGATAATAAAGGTAATTAGGGCTGTTGTTGGACTAATTGAGACTAAAGCTAGTGCAGCGCCTCCAATAAGGTGTATGAGAAGGTGGCCTGCTGTGATATTGGCTGTAAGCCGTACGGCTAGGGCTATAGGTTGAATGAAGAGACTAATAGTTTCAATAACAATTAGCATAGGAATAAGAGGAATAGGGGTTCCTTGTGGGAGGAAATGGGCTAGTGACGCCTTAGTTTTGTATCGAAACCCGGTGATTACGGCTCCTGCTCATAGGGGGATTGCTATCCCTAAATTTATTGATAATTGAGTTGTTGGTGTGAATGAGTGAGGCAGGAGGCCTAGGAGGTTGGTTGAGCCAATAAATATGATTAGGGAAATTAATATTAGAGATCAGGTTCGTCCTTTGGGGGAATGTATTAATATTATTTGCTTTAAGATAAGTTGGGCTAATCATTGTTGGGTTGAGACTAGTCGGTTGTTAATTAGTCGGCTAGGGGAGGGAAATAGTAAAGTTGGGAATATGATAATTAAGGCTACAATAGGGAGCCCTATTAGTGTTGGGGTAGCGAAAGAGGAGAATAAATTTTCGTTCATTTTGTTTCTCATGGGCAAGGGAATGAAGTAAACTCAAGTGATTTTAGTACTGGGTTCATAGGGTATGTGTATTTGTGGAATTTGAGTTGTATTAGGATAAATAGTGAAAGAATTATGGCGACAATGGTAGTAAATCATGTGGATGTGTCAAGTTGTGGCATTTCACTATGGAGAGACCATTTAACTCTCACTCTCTAGCTTAAAAGGCTAGCGCTGTTTAGCTTCATAGCGAGTCTAAATCATAGATAGGGATCAGTTTTCGAAGTGTTTAAGTGGAACTATTTCGAGGACAATAGGTATAAAGCTATGGTTTGAGCCACAAATTTCTGAGCACTGACCATAGAAAAGTCCTGGTCGAGTTGAGATAAGTGTGGCTTGATTTAAGCGTCCGGGAATGGCATCTGTTTTTAGTCCTAGTGATGGTACGGCTCATGAGTGAAGTACGTCTTCCGAGGAGATTAGCATGCGGATTGGGAGTTCTATGGGAAGTACAACTCGATTGTCAACTTCCAGTAGTCATAAGTCACCTGGGTTTAAATTGGATGTTGGGATTATATATGAGTCGAAGTTCAGGTCTTCATAGTCTGTGTACTCATAACTTCAATATCACTGGTGGCCTATGTTTTTACTGTCAGGGAGGGGTTATTGATTTCATCTATTATATACAAGATTTGTAGGGAGGGAAGTGCAATTAAATTAGAATAATAGCTGGGAGAATAGTTCAGATGGTTTCTACCTCTTGGGCATCTATTGTGCTTGTGTGGGTAAGTTTTGTAGTCAGTATTAGTGAAATAATATAGAGGGCCAATGAGTTAATTAGAAAAATGATCATAAGCCTGTGGTCATGGAAGTGGAGTAATTCTTCTATAATAGGAGATGAGGCATCTTGGAAGCCTAGTTGAAATGGATACCATAAAGATATATAGGGTTGAACCTATAAATTAACTTCAACAATGTTATGTAATAGTTTTCTAATATCTTATTGAGAAAGTCAGAATGGTTATGGGGCTGGCTTGAAACCAGTTTTAGGAGGTTCGATTCCTTCCTTTCTTGTACTAAGCTTTTACGAAAGCGGGTTCTTCAAATGTATGGTATGGGGGAGGGCATCCATGAAGTCATTCTAGGTTTGTGGTGGTTAGTTCAATAGTCTCTACTTCTCGTTTTGAGGCGAAGGCTTCTCAGATTATAAAAATTATTACTATTACGGCAGTTAGGGAAATGAATGAGCCTATTGATGAAACAGTATTTCATATTGTATAGGCGTCCGGGTAGTCTGAGTACCGTCGGGGTATACCTGAGAGGCCAAGGAAATGTTGAGGGAAGAAGGTTAAGTTGACTCCTACAAATATCACAGTGAAGTGAATTTTAGCTCAGGTTGGGTCAAGGGTATAGCCTGAGAATAGGGGGAATCAATGGGCAAATCCTCCTATAATAGCAAATACAGCCCCCATAGATAGGACATAGTGGAAGTGAGCTACTACATAGTAGGTGTCATGTAGTACGATGTCTAAAGAGGAGTTGGCTAGCACAATTCCTGTAAGACCGCCTACTGTAAATAGGAAAATAAAGCCTAGAGCTCAGAGCATAGCGGGGGATCATTTGATGTTGCCGCCATGCAGTGTTGCTAGCCAGCTAAATACTTTGACTCCAGTAGGGATAGCGATGATTATGGTAGCTGATGTAAAGTAGGCTCGTGTGTCTACATCTATTCCTACTGTAAATATATGATGGGCCCATACGATAAATCCAAGGAAACCAATTGATATTATAGCTCATACTATTCCTATATAGCCAAATGGCTCTTTTTTCCCGGAATAGTATGTCACAATGTGCGAAATTATTCCAAATCCTGGAAGAATAAGAATATATACTTCGGGGTGCCCGAAAAATCAGAATAGGTGTTGGTAGAGGATAGGGTCTCCTCCTCCTGCAGGATCAAAGAAGGTTGTATTTAAGTTTCGGTCTGTTAAAAGCATTGTAATGCCAGCAGCTAGGACCGGTAAAGAGAGAAGAAGAAGTACGGCTGTGATTAGAACAGATCATACGAATAAGGGGGTTTGATATTGAGATATTGCAGGGGGTTTCATATTAATAATAGTTGTAATAAAGTTAATAGCCCCTAAAATAGATGATACTCCAGCTAAGTGAAGGGAGAAAATAGTAAGATCCACTGAGGCTCCAGCATGTGCAAGATTACCGGCTAGAGGTGGATAAACAGTTCAGCCAGTCCCCGCCCCAGCTTCTACTATTGAGGAGGCTAGTAGAAGAAGGAATGAAGGGGGGAGAAGTCAGAAGCTCATATTATTTATTCGGGGGAAGGCTATGTCAGGAGCCCCAATTATCAGGGGGACAAGCCAGTTCCCGAAGCCTCCAATTATAATAGGTATGACTATAAAGAAGATTATTACAAAGGCATGTGCGGTGACGATTACATTATAGATTTGATCATCCCCGAGTAGAGTCCCTGGCTGACCTAATTCTGCTCGAATTAGCAGGCTAAGGGCTGTTCCCACCATCCCAGCTCAAGCTCCAAATAGGAGATAAAGAGTGCCGATGTCTTTATGGTTGGTAGAGAATAATCAACGGTTAATGAACAGAAGCAGGGGTAAAATGGCTGAGTAAACATTAGACTGTAAATCTAAAGACAGAGGTTGAGCCCTCTTTACCAAGCCCTGAGGTGAAATTTTCATGTTGAATTGCAAATTCAAAGAAGCAGCTTCAATTCTGCCAGGGCTTCTCCCGCTTTTTTTTTTTTTTTTTTCTTACGGCAGGAGAAGGAGATTGAAGCCAGTTGATTAGGGTATTTAGCTGTTAACTAAAATTTCGTGGGGTTGGATCCCACCAATCTAGGGGGACTTAGCTTAATTAAAGCACCTGATTTGCATTCAGAAGATGTGCAGTTAATTTGCAGTCCTTAAGCAGGAGTTAAGTATAATTTACTTGCTTAGAGCTTTGAAGGCTCTGGGTCTATGTAACATAAACTCCTTCTAACCTTAGTTTAGTACTGAAAATATTGGTGTGAGGGGAAGAAATATTGTTGATAAAATGATTAGTGGGGCTATAAATAGTATGCGTTTTGTTGATTCAAATTGTCATTTTATTTTTAGATTGTTGGTGGTAGGGAATATAGTTAGTGAGGAAGAATAGATAAGGCGTATATAAAAATATAGATTTAGGAGGGCAAGCATGGCTATAGCGGTGGGTAAAATGATATTGCCATTTTTTGTTAATTCCTGGATGATAATTCATTTAGGGATAAAACCTGTGAGTGGGGGCAGGCCTCCTAGGGATATTAGGGTGATTAGGATAGTAGATACTATTAGTGGATTTTTGTTTCACATTTGTGATAGTGATAGAGTGGTTGTACTTGAGTGCTGTATGAATATTATGAATATAGGGATTGTCATGAGAATATAGATAATTAGGTTTAGGACTATAGTATTTGGGTTAAATGTGATGATAGCTGCTATTCATCCTATGTGGGCGATTGAAGAGTATGCTAGGATTTTTCGTAGTTGGGTTTGGTTTAGTCCACCTCAACCGCCAACTATAATTGATAGAATGGCTACTGATATTATTATAGTTGGATTAATTGATGGGGAGATTTGGTAAAGGATGGATAGGGGGGCTAATTTTTGTCACGTGAGAAGGATTAATCCTGATTTTAGGGGAACTCCTTGGGTGACCTCTGGTACTCAGAAGTGGAAGGGGGCTATTCCTAGTTTAATGATTAGTGCCAGTGTAATTAGGACTGGAGTAAGTTGATTCTGTGGATTAATTAGGGTTCATTGTCCGGAGTCAAGGATATTAAGTGTAATAGCTATTATTAAGATTATAGATGCTGTGGCTTGTGTTAGAAAATATTTGGTTGCAGCTTCTGTTGATCGTGGGGTGGCTTTGTT